CCCATGCCTCCATGCCAGTGTCAATGGTGGCACGACTGGGATCCAAACACCATGGCTACCTTGTGTCGCCCCAGGACTGCCAGAATGGTCTCAGCGACTGGCACCATTTGTGGTCACATTCCAAGCATTTTGATTGCAATAGTGATGTGTCGAACCAGTAATAAGCAGATAAGTTTTGGGTCAACAGATTGACGCTTCATCCAGCACGTCAAATCTAATTTCACTCTGTTTAGTTTCCTCGCCCAGCCTAGTTTTAAAATCTGACTATGGCCCTGTCAATTCAATTTAGGGACGGAGGGACCAGGTGCATAGGAACGGAGGGACTGCATAGCTGCGAGTTATGAAGATGAAAGGCCCTTTCGAAGAACTTGAACTTCGAGATATATACCTCTTTCAGGACAACAGCACTTAAAGCGAGGAGTTCCAAATAGATCAAGCAACAAGTTGAATGTGTTGAAGGCTTTCTTTGACACATTCATTGTTTCTGTTTTGACGCCGCAGTTCATTTGCCATGAGCTTTGCTGTCAGGGTGATTCCTGATGGTAGTGTAGTTCTGTTGCTCAGAAGCAGTCTTTTCCAAAAAAGGCAGCATCGCAAGTTGCCTGGAACGACTTGGTAGAAGTTGCAAAACCAACATGGTTCCAACCATCCAACACGCAATAACCATGCATCAGGGTCCGTCAAGTCACATGAGTCTTTGACTAGTACCAACTTTGTCACTCCCATGTACCGAGTGTTTTTATCTTGATCTTACTACTCGCTGTGCTAATTACATCTAATTACTAGCCGCAGCCACTATTTAAACATATTTAAACATATTTAAACATATTTAAACTTAAACCATGTAAGAACAATATCAATCCCCCTCTCTCTTTCTCTGAATTGACATCGGGTGAACTCCTTGCCACCTTTAGGCGCGCTTGGTGCTGTTCGCACCACAACTCTGGCTGTTCGCACAACTCTGGACATTGGTCGCACCAGATGTCGCACCACAACTCTGGACATTGGGTGAAAAAAGTTCACGTCGTTCAAACCTATGCGACTTGGTCGCCACAATCGTGACAGGTGGTGCTGTGGTACTGCGTGGAGCGGTGACCGGTGATAGTCTTGTCACGCTGTAGCCGCTGTACATCCCTAGGCTTAGCTTCCCTAGGACTGTCATGCGGGCTTCGACAACTGGTACCACGGCTGGTCAGATGGCAAGAAGAGTTGGTGCTGTGTCGGGATACCAAGCTTCCTATGCTTCCTGCGTTCCTCAATAGATCGAATCGTGGGGGAATGTTGAAAAAATCTCCTGGTTAAATTCCTGAAATCAGAATGCAGACTTGCAGCATATCATATCTGGTTGCACGGGAGCTGAAGGAAATATACATTAAGCATCATTAAGCAAATTTTTGTAATATACTGTATGTGAACTTTGAGAGCCTTTGGGCAAGCCACATAGTAGAACAGTTTGTGGATTATATACATTCCAAATCCTCAAGCTGTTCCTTTGCGGAATGAAAGAACCACATGTGAAGAAGGACGCAGAGAAACACAATCATTGTAAAAGCTCAACAGTTTGTGACGGAGTAGATACATATGGGTACGCATCAAGATTCTTCCTCCAGATATGCCTTCATTGAAACATCTCAAACTTGAGTGTCAATCCTTGGTAATTTGTCGAAATAGTCCTTGGCAGATGTTTTTCTTTGTATCACATATACCAACTTTTTGGTGAGGAAAAGAAGACCATGGGCTGCCCTGGCAGCTGGCATCACGGCTACCACCTCAGTGAAACACAGCGTGTGCTGTGGCTACCTGCTGTGGCTACCTGCTGTGGTTACCACCAGGTTTTGCAAAGCCCGAGGCCACTGGCATCACAGCCATCACGCCGTGGTAATCCACGAGGAGCACGTGGGCCACGGCGGCTACGACTGCCATGCTGGTGCGAGCAACTGGATGCAGGGATGGTGGCTCGGCACAGACGGACAAAAAAAGGTCGTTCTGTGGCTTTGTCCCGTGGGGTATGCCCCAAAATCTGATCACTAGGGAGCATTACTGCATGAAAATCACAAAAGATTGGGGTGCCTCTTTTTTGGAAGCAAATTCATGGAAAAACGAGGTTGAATAAAGGAAGTTACAGATGGAAAATGAGTTTGCAACCCACACTAGTCGATGCTATCGAACAACTGCCCGAAACATTTCTCAATTTTCGCTCTACCTCTTTGGAGAAGGAGGCAACAAGCTGCAAGCTGAAAGTGCTATTTTGCAGGCCTTTTTCTTAACAGACAAAGAAACATGCCAGAAAAAGCCCTACAAAACCAATTCTATGATCTTTGTTTCATTTTGCCTAAGGTCGGGAAAGAAGAAGGATTGGTGCTGCAGCAAGGGCCACAACCAGTTCTGTGTGAAGTTCCATTGCCACGCGGAACACGCAACTGGCCCATGTTTTAGTTTGACGCATCCCAGACTTTGACCCACAGCCATATGGTGACCCAAAGCATTGGAAGTAAGAAGAGTTTCAGCGGTTTAAGCAAAAACTCATGGGAAACCAGGGTTTGTAGATGTTTTCAGCATCAAACGCCAAGTTTTTTAGATGTATTTTCTATGCCGGGCACACGCCAGGCACACGTGAACGCTTGGTCCAGTGAGCAGCGTCGCGGCCTCGATGAGACGAATTCTGAATTGACTTCAGACTTCTGCAGGGCCCCTGCAGCTTCATGGTAGGTGACTTCTGCTGCAGCAACTTCCAGATGGGCTGCCCCCACACCACCCTGTCACCGCTGGGCTGTGATGCCAGAAACCCAGAAGCACAACTGGTGATCAGCCTGCACCTGGATCACAGGAAAGATTTAAAGAATCAGTTTATACACCATATTGGTTTCTTCCATCCGATAGATCATCATTTTCCACATTTACTTGGTCATAGATTTCGGTGCCCCCATTCATGGACAAACGCAATAGATCAGATGTATCCATAAATTGGTTGGTTTAGGTTTAATCCCAAATTTTTGAAAGCAAATCCGATGTAAACCCCTAACCTGTCTTCCAATGTGAGGCCATGTGCGTGGTGAACGGAGAGAGCAGCAGCTGCAAGAGCCGCATGAAGTGGACACAGGCATGACGGGATGTAGCCACGAAGTTTGATGATAAATCACAGATTTTTAGGATTGTGGTACTTACCCCCCAAATAGATAGAAAAGACATTTCCTACTAAAATAGTGGGGCATGTACCCTCTGGTAATTTCCATAGATATATTGATATGATTCGAAATCCATGTATCCTCATTGGAAAATGATCTGCAAATGGTAGGGTAAACCTAAGATTTACTGTAAGATGGCGATTGAGTTTGAAATATGATGATTAACCAGTGGGCTGAGGATGATTACAGTAGGGATGAATAGGGTATACCGCGGTATACCCATTTTTTTGAACAACCCCACGTGTGAAGCATGTAACTGACCCATTTGCCATGACGTAGACTTTCGGCCACGTTGCAGCACAACGTTTTCGGCGGCAAGAGCAACGCCTGCAATCTTGCCTACAGCAAGATCCAGGTTGGCCCAGGGGGACTGCTTTATTTTCGACTCAAAGGCTCTGCTTCCATCAGACGCTTGGGTAATCTTGGGTATGGCTATAGCTGCTATGTATGTTTAGTTGTTCTCGGTGTCAGTTTTATCTTCGTGGCTCTTCTCCTTTCTCAGTCTGAAATACGCTTTTGATGCAGTGGGCATGGTTGGGGGCTTGGGTGGGGCTGGATCAGGTGGAGTGCGACGTTTGCCGTGCATGCTCCATCGAGGCAGTCCTCCGCGAATTCCTCTGTTCATCAGGGCATTCGCGTGCATTGGGAAGATCTTTCAGTTGCAATGATGGTTTCATGATGGTTGCATCATGATTTCATGAGTATTTTTCAAGTGATTTGAAGTTGATTTGCTTATTTTCATGTCATTTCGTCATTTCCATGGGCCCGTAGATCCCCCAATCGATTGGTGGTCATGGAATCTTGCAGGCAGCTGGCTGCGGAGCTCAAGGACCCGGTAAGGCTGCATTCGATTGCCCGGTGCTCAAAATGACCATTGATTGTTCCGAAAATGCTGGGATCGCGGTTGCAACAAACCTCTACAAAGAGGAAGACCGTTCTACAAAGATGGCATTGATGGCATATTTTGAGGAAAACTGAAAACTCTTTAGGCTAAATGGCGAAACTTTAGGCTGCAGGATTTTGTAGAGAAATTTCGTTTGCGAATTTGCTGAACCCGGCTGCACAAGTGCGCCCACGACACGGCTCCAAGCCACGTCCTAGGCCACGCTGCCCTGGGCAACTGGCCGGATGTCTCAGCCGTTGAGATTCGTTGAGAAAGTTACTGCCATTTCAAACATTTTCAAAGATTTTCAAACATTCCAAACTAAAAAAAAGTCAGATGCTTCGAGTTGTCTAAATGACGATTTCGTCGATCCTCGAAGGTGCCGCGCCTGGTCTCCTGCAAAGAAGGTCTGGTGCTGCAACGAGAAGCAGAAAGGCGCCGTTTGCCACGCAGGGAGCTCTCAACGTTGGAAGTTGTGTGGAGCAGCGCATTACTTTGTACTTGATAATCTTGATATCAGACTTTAAAACTTCACAAAAGTTCTCTGGCAGGCTGCCAGTCCCCTGACACCCCACCCAACTGTGATGCTGGCGCTGGCAAAATTTGGAAGAGTCTTGGTCAAAACTGTACAGATTTCTGCTCTGGAGCTGGAAGACAATTTGGGAAGATCAGTCATTATCTTCTTGTTTGAGACAGCACTCAATGTGTTTTCGCTCTAAGGAAAGTGTTCATCAGTGGCCACTGGACTTGGGAGGTACAGCTTTGGATTTGCACAGTTGTATGTTGTACATGAAAGAAGAGTACGGTAGCACTCCTCGAATCTCTCTGAAAGGCGCAAATGGCCGGTGGCGCGGTTTCCGTGCATAAGCCCTTTTCTTGCCATGCAGGCCTTTGTTTCGGGCTTCTCCAGCTCACTCTTATCCATCAAAAGACATGAGACCTCACATGGACCTATCAACAAGCCAAATGGGTTTGTCTGAAAATGGTGGATATCTGAAAATGGCAATTCAACTGGAAAACATGATGGTAAACCATTGGATTGTTGGATTTTTGGGTACCCGGGTAGCCCATTGACACACCCAAATGGTCACCAAATGGAACATACGACCATCCAGGCCTGCCAAATTGGAGCGCTGGCTGGTCACCTTCCAAGAAGTCTTGGTGACATGGCAGCAGTCCAGCCGATAGGAACACAAGAGACTCACATGACTCACGATGTTCGCAGAGGTTTTTCTAGATTATATAGCAATAATATTATATATATAGCACAAAAAATTACCAACGGATACAGTGTTTATAGCCTTTGAACAGTTTAAACCATCTTTATGATTCTTGGTCAGTGTTCAAACGTGGTAATTCATGGCATTTCAGGTGCTGTTCTCACGAGCAGCTCGGCTGCCCCGGCTTCGTCTACCACGGGCCTGGTGCTGGGTCTTTCAAACACGTTTCTTGCTGGCATTGGGTGGTCCGGTCCAAGGTCCATGTTCGATGGTTGGGAGAGTTGGGAGTTATTTCTCTGGGGCCGACTGGACCCAAAAGTCTTCGGATTTACCAGCCATATGAGTGACCATCAAAAAACTTCATTGGGATCATGGTTTTTCCATGTTTTTCCTATGTTTTTGTTTGGTCCCCATCATAGGTTGTGGTCACTCACCACTACGTCTCTGGCGGCGGTGCAGCTGGCGGTGCGGCTGGCGGTGCTGCCGGTGGTGCTGCCGGTGGCGGTGGCAGCTGGTCGTCATCGTCCAGTGGCAGCTGGCACTCTGGTGGACATGTGGTGGTTCATCACCATCATCACGTGGTTCACTAGGCGCGTTGAGAGACACTTGAGGGCAGTTGTGCAACATGAAGGTTAGGGTTTTGCCAGGGAGAACTCGAATTTTTGTGTTTGAAACGTTTGAATCGTTTCCGCTCTTGTTGAGAGCCAACTAACATGCAGTCTAATTTGTTTTTCAATACCTTACAAGAAGCAATTCCATATTACACATATATATATAATATATAGTTTTATTTATCACATGAGCATATTGCTTCATGGTCTATCACTTTTGACCTAAAAGGGATGGCGTGCTTTCTTGTCAATTTGCATCTTTAGAGATTTGCTGCGAGTTCTTGCATTCCGCCAGCTGCTCAAGAAGTGTTGACAAGTAGCGTGCTTTGACAAGTGCCGGTGACATGGCACCATATTGGGCACGCCAGCAACCATATTTTCAGTGGCTTGGCTTGGGCCATATTTCCCCGAGATAACTTCAAGCAATGTGCATGAGTCCCATTTACCGTTTCTATAGTTTTTAGTCCCATCTTCAATTTGCCTTTGCAAGATGCATCTTTACTCTGTTTCCTTGTCTATGAATTAATACAGTGTCATACAGTGTCACAGTGTTCAATATTCAGATGCCATCAGGTTTCCCTGCAAATCTGACCAAATCCCCTGGTGCACACACAAGCCACCAAGGATGGGCAAGGGAAAAGGCAGCGGCAAGGCGTCCGCCGCGTCCGCACACTTCCACGGCCCAGGCGAGGCTCCAGTTGAAGGTCGGTAGAGGTTTTCACGGAAGCCAGCTTCTGCTAGCTGAAGTTCCTCTGCTTTACCAAGGTTTAGCAAATTTTTAGCAAGGTATTGGGGGGCGTGGAATCTCCACTCGCATGAAACTTCATACTTAACTACCTCCCCCCTCGCCCTGGCTGGTTCACAAGCAGTTTGGCCGTGGCTTAATCCCCTCGAGGGACACCGTCGGCATGTCGGCACCGGCTGCTAAGCTAGCTTTCGTCCCCCACCCCTGGGCCTCAAGTTTTTAGTCAAATGCAAGTCTTAATGGGACATAATTAAACCACCGTTGGGGATGACAATGATGATGGGCAATGAATGGCAATGATGGGTATAAATTTATGTCAATTGGTCTACAACTTTGGCCTGGCTTCAGGAGGATATGGACAGGAAGTTCTTGCTACGCCCATGCCAACTCAAGCCGTAGGCGTCTGGGAATTGGTTCGGGAAAATCCCATGACTTGGGCAACGGCAACAGTAAAAAATGCCCAGTTTCCCGGGATTTCAGGAAACTTTTGGACCAATGTTTTCGAGCTGACAGAGAGGGTATGCAACTACAGTTCACTGTTCACTTACTTAGTTTCTCCAGGAAACACGTGCACCAGATGTAAAGCCACATTTTTTATTCAGTGCCATTGCCATGGATTTTTTGCAATTTCCCCTGTGCACAAGTCAAGCCTTGCTGAGGCAGCGCTGACGGATATACCACCGGGACCATCCGGCGCCTCTTTGTGGGCAAAGGCCTGACCAGCCAATTCCTTCTGCAGCGGTGTGTCACGGCCATTTTGCTTTGTCAAATGTTGATTCCCCAAGAAGATCCAAGAAGTTTAGCGCATCTCTTCTTCACCCTTGAATTAAAACATAAAGTGTAGTTTTGATTAGTGGGTATTTGTGGCAAAGAAGACTTGAGTAACAGCCTAAAGTCCTAAACCTTTGAGCCTAAACATCTTAAACTCCAATCCCTAAACCCTTAAAACTCTGGAACAGTAAAGGAAACGCCTTAAGACTTAAAAGCCAAAGCCCTAAAACCATAATTCCTAAGCCCTAGAACCTTGGAAACCAAAAGTGATGATGGGCCAAATGAGGTGTTTAGGTGTAATTGCACATACATATGACATATATAATCATATATATATATATAATTAGAATTCATTATATATATATAATTATATAATCAGATATATTAATATGTATATGAATTTTACACACAATGTACTGACTGTACATAAATCAACATAAATGTTTTTTGCATTTTTTTAACGATGATTTTTTTATTTACATTTATGATGCACTATGTATTTTCCAGGTGACTCCAGGAACTACCGCACAGGATTTGGCTTTATCTCCCGGGACGATTTGCCAAGCACTTCCGGACGTGGAGACGTCTTTCTCCATTTTTCGGATTTGGTGTCTCGCCTCAAATTTGGGTCTCAGGGCAGACAAATGAGAGTGAAAATAAGGCATGGTCATAAAATAGCAAGATGATAAACCGTGGGATTTGGGGGTATGTTATATTTTCAGACAAAGCCAAACCCAAACATATCAAACCAACGATAGTGTTTGAAAAGTGTTCCGACTAGCTGACATTGACACACTCACATGGTCAGTGGGAGTTAATCATCCATTCGGACAGGGTATATCCTGAAATCACTGAGGAAGGCCCCATGTTCAACAATTGTTTGAAGTTTGTTGCGATAGCATGACATTCGTCCGATTCCGTACTGACAAGACGTGTACACCGTACGCATTTTTCTCCGGCACTCCGAAAATCCATTCTGTCTATGCCAGGTGGTATCATTTGACAAACATTACCTAATGCAAGCTGTCAGCCCTGTCAACGGGCCAAGGAGGCTGGCGTAACAAGTGGTGATCTTGCAGTGGGCATGCGTATGAAGTTTAAATGGGAGGCCGAGGAGTGCTGTGAATCGCGCATAGAGATGCTGTTTTTCTTTGCAAAGCGACGATGATAACCAGCTGCAAATCACATGCCTCGAATCCTTAGTTGCAGTATGGTTCGATTTCTCTTGTAAAAGGACCAAAGTCTTCAAAGTGTGCCACGAAGTTTGCATTTGAAAAGGCATAGTTTGAGACTTTGCAGATGCCAGCCCCGCAATCCGAAGGCCTCTCGTGATTCGCGCGGACCTGGCGGCCGCGCTCGCATGGTTTCCTTTGAGGACCACAGTTCCTTGGCAGCGTCAAGCTGTGAGTGATAGCCAGTGATAGCATGAGTATCTGCCCTGCTTGATGACATACAGGAAGAGAGATAAGTAAGGGAGGGAAGACCTGCAATAAACAAGTTCTTGATTTGATGCATTTCATGTCCAGTCTTTTTGAAGCCAATGCAGACCCTTTTACATCACATTGTTGAAACAAGACAACATGTTCTATCGGACATGTGGCGGTGCAGTACCCGTCCACGATCAACGTCAAGTTCCATCTTTCAAGGGCGACCGGTGCACGACAGCAGAATGGTTCGCAGATTTTTCCAGGTGTCATTAGCTGAGAGCATTAGCTGATATACGAGCATGTCCTAGCACATCTAAAGGTCTTTGTACCCTCAAGATAGCAAAATGATACAACATCTTTTTACCCTCAACAAAAATGATTATTTTGAGAATATTTTGAGAGGGGTGATGATGAACCACTGGATCTTATGGATCTTTGGGTTTTCGCATGTTTTCGCCGAATTCTCAGACAAAGCAATTGGCCCTGACCGAGGCTCCCCAGCATCTGTGACAACGCCTCCGCGCCGTGCTGCTCGCACGGGCCGTGTACCTTGATATCCTATGGCTGGATGGAGCAGTTTGGCACCTGTTGTGACACTAGCAGTCACTAGCATCAAGTGAAATTCATTTTCATAGCCAGTCATTGATCTTTGGGACAGAATAAGATATTTCGGGGATGCCCGCTTCTGTGGACGCCACAGCGATGCCTTCGCTTCTAGGGAAGACAATTTGGAAGATCGGGATAGTTTCCTATGAATTTACGACGCGGGCATGGTCGGAGAATGTGGAGGAGTGTCAGATGCCCAGGTGTATCGCAAGGATCTTTTCCTGGCTGTGCAGCAGCAGTTGCAAACTGCCGGGGAATATGAAGAGCGCAGGCTGTTGAAACGCAGAGTTGACAGCACTGTAAACTTGTCTGCAACAAAGATGCGTCTCAAAATTCGAGGATCCAACTCGAATCATTCTGGCGCTCAAGACTTTGTGGCCATGTTTCTGTTTCTTTGTGCCAATTGGATGTGTGGTTGTGGACATTCTTGCCAGCCACCAGCTTCCTGCAGGCCATTTGGCACACGCTCACTTCTTGGTCCTTTGCCTTCGAAGATCGTGTTCCCTTTTACCATCCAGCTGCCACAGTGGTATTGGGACGCTGAAGATGAGCGTGCCTTGGCAGTAAGATCATTCTGAATGTTGTTTCACTGCTTTATTGTGCAATACGTATATTTATCTTCATTTGTTATATACCCATGCATTGAGTTTGGCAGGCTTGGGTGTGCATGTATCATCTTTAAGTGCTTCAATGAATGCTATCATTTTGGCTCAAGTAAACTTGAACCAAAATAGCATTCATTGCTGTTTTCTTTCTTGGTCTGGGTAAGGGGTGACCTTCCTAGACCTTGATTGATTGGTTCAAACTCTACACAAGGGGTGACCTTGTATGCAGCGCAAACTCCCCGGGATCGATATCCCAGCAGCCACCGAGGCGAAGATCCTCCATGCGGCTGCTTTCCTGGAGTTCAAGGGCCACGTGGAAAGGCTGGCACGGGAGGGCTCTGACGTGGCGGCATACACATGCTGGATGCATGGGATTGAAGTGTTGCACTCCCCCTACGTCATTACGACTGGGACGGACTCAGAGCTTTTCCCCCCCTGCCGAAGCTACCCTGTTGCCTTGATGACTGCCAGCGTTGCGCAGCTCATGTTGGGGGGTTCAAGTTCCCGTGGCTCGGTCTGTGGAATAGCCGCGGAGTTGTGCTGCCCGACGATGTGGCGCCTGCGGATGCTTGGGCGTACTACTACCAGCACCAGGACCCCATGGACCTTCTGCTGGTCGCCGCCTACACGAAGCTCAAGGTGGCTGCCGACATCGTGCCCCAAGATCTCTACGGGTTGCAGCTCAGGTGCACAGCGGGTGACGCTGGGCAACTGGGCCTGGGGGAGCTTTTTGACCAATGGAGGAGTTGGCTCAGATGCACGGGCCCTCACGAGCTCCTGCCGACCTTCCTCGAGCCGCGCCACTTCCCCAGAGCACCCAGGGGGCGACCCTGGCCAGCATGGGGGAGAGAAGGCGCCAGGGCACATCGTGCACTATGTGGATGGCTGGAATGCCAAGACGCAAGCGTGCTTCAACTGGGCACGGCCTGCACAGAGTGCGGGGACCCTACAAGGCGCGTGTGCTGGGCATGCTGCGTCGGGATGTGTAGTGACTGCTTTACCTGGCGTGAGCCATGCAGCACTTGTGGAGGACGTAAGAAGATGTTTGCTGTAGGTTGATTTTATGACAGAGGAGGCACCTCTGAAGTCACCGCAGCATCTTTTTGCTCTCCGCACCTTAGCAACTCTGTTAGGGTGCAGTGCCATGGCATCAGGCGGCAAAGGCTACTACGCAGCTCAGGCGGCAGCCTCATCTTCGTCAGGGGGTGACCCTGAACCAGGATGGAGGGCAGCCGACTCTTTGATGATGATAGCTGCACAACGTGCGCGCCAATGGAGGGAGAATGAAGGCCTCCTGGACGACAACGACTTTGCCTATGCCTACACAGACTACGATCAAGTCGTTGGACTGGCCGGCCATCACGTAGCGGATGACTGGCTTCAGACACGAGCAAGGGTGGAAGAGCATCTCCTTGCAGCTGGGGCCAAAGTCGTGGAGGACAACCCCAAGGGTTCCGTCACTCTGCGCCCCGTGCGCAAAACAATATACAAGAAGAAACCCAAGGCCGTCAACGTCGACAAGAACCTGGATGAAGCCGTCCAAAAGAGAGAGTGAACGGCCTGGTGTCGATGTTTGTCGGTATGGGTGCATACAAACCAGCTGGCATCTTGACAGACACCCTCAAGGCCGAGTGGAAACAAACGTGCAAGAGGATCGCCGAGAAGAAGGTGAAGGACGCAGAGAAGGCGACCATTGACCGAGTGGTCAACACATGGTTGGAGCTGAGGGCCTTCTTGGAGAGTCGGGGGCGACCCGCTCCTCCTGGAATGGTCGACCTGGATCAGTTCCTGAACCATACATCGGCCCCAGCACGAGCACTCCAGGCCTTGAAGTGGATGAACAAGAATGCCGACCAAGATCTAGAGCTGGGAAACTTGCAAGTGCCCACAACACCCAGGGCGACTGGGCAGCGTGGGCAGGCACCGGTGGTGGAACCTCCGCTATTGCAAGCCTTGGAGGACCGCATCATGGAGTTGCATGCGGTTGGCGACGAGAGGTGGTCAGTTCTCCTGGCCCCTTGGATCATGTCGTTTGGCTGTTTGCGGTATGCGCACATCGCGCGGTCTGAACCTCGACGTCTCACGGCTGCATTCCTCCATTGCAGGTGCCCCAAAGGAAAACAAAAGCATGCTCGTGAAGGCTTCGACTTTGCTGTGCCGGCCACCTTTGCCAACGGTTTCTTTTGGGCCAAGGAAGTGCTGGAGGCGTACAGGACGCTGGCACCAGCGAGGCAGAGACTTGCAGGCCTTTGTTTTTCAGACGAAGGGCGCCCTTGGACGATCCTTGAAGTGCAAGAAACAATGCAGCAGGAAATGTCCGTGTTCCTCGATAATCCAGAAGACCTGACCACCTACAGCTGGAGGAGGCTTGCACCAACGGTGGCCCAGTTGTTAGACTGCAGGCCTGAAGAAATGGCAGCCCTGGGCGACTGGCAAGCCAAGAGCGAGCAACCAGAGGTGGGGGCGATGGCATTTCACTATTCGTCGGCCAAATACGCCGCGTCGATTAAGGTGAAATCGCTGGTCTGGGGTGCTACAGCTAAGCTGACTAGCAATCTGCTGTGGGAGGCGATCCCGCAGGCAGAGCTAGATGCAGCCCGGGCTCACGGCTTGACTGAGGCCGACAGATTGCTGCGACAAGACCGCCAACCTATGTGGGCCTCCGCACACAGCTTCCAGGACGTGAAGAAAAGGCTCAAGCTGTCACAACAGTTCGTTGAAGCGGCGCAGCAAGCCCGGCAGGAAGCCGAAGCAGCACCGGCACCTCAGATGCTTGACCAACTCAAGGGCAAGGTGCTGACAGCCACATTGAAAAATGGCAAGGCTATATGCCCGGACTTCCAGACGGATGAGTGCCCGAACCCGGCAGACTCTTGTCCATTCGGAGTGCACTTGTGTGCCATCTTACAGAAGTCAGGACGGGCATGTGGTGGCAAGCACGGTGCGGGCATCTGCAACATCAAGCGAGCAGTGATGGCAGCAACGGCAGTGCCAGCGGCGCCCAAGCCATCGGCCACCTTGGTGCCGGCAGCCGTGGGGGAGAAGGCCACGTTCGGCCGGAAGAGGACCGCGGCGAGCGGTGCCACAGACGATGAGATTGCAGATGTGATGCGCACAGCTGTCAAGAAAGCCCGAGGCCAAGCTGCACCCAAGACTCCGCCAAAGGCACCAGCCATTGCAGCCCCCAAGACGCCTCCGAAGGCCAAAGCCACCAGACCTAAGCCGCTGGCCACAGCTGCAAAGTCCATGGCTGCCGCCACAACGCCGAAGCGCCTGGCAGCTCCTGGGAAGCCGCAGACCAAGGCCATGCCAAAGAAAGGCCGTGGGAAAGCTGCCGGAGACACCTTGGACCTACACTTGGAGCGCTTGGGTGTGGGCTCAGGGACTGCCCAGGCCCCTACTTGCATCTGGACGTCCCGAAAGGGTGGTGGCATCTACCTGGCAGGACTTCCGATGCAGCAGACTGTGGACAAGTTCCCCAAGACGGCGTTGCAGATCTGCTGTTTCCCGCATGGTCCTGAGAGCCGGGGGGGGTGACCCTCCCGGGAGCTCAGTTGATGACCTTTGCGGCGGCATACAGCCAGGAACGCAATGAGCAGTGGACAGACGTTTGGCCTGCTGTCAAGAATACAGTATGGCATGGCGACAACGTCGTGGTGCACTGCATCAAGGGGAGACACCGGGGTGCTTTCTTAGGCATCCTCTGCCGCGCATTGCTGGCCGGTGAGTCCATTGAGGATGCCAACCACTACGTGGAGAGCCGCCGAGACACAGAGCTGAACAAGGTGATTCGAGACCAAGGCATGCGGAAGTGGCTGCACAAGACCTTCCAGGACACCGCGGTGGGAACACAGCATCCTGAGCCGCAGGGGTATGCAGCCACGGATCGGTCCAGTACCCATGTCACGGTCGAGGACGGCATCACCCTGTGCCAGCACAAGCAGGCTGACGGGAAGGCGAAACGCCTGGTGAACCCGTACATGTCCACAGACGTCTTTGAAGCTCTGGCATGGGAGCGCCCCTGGTGTGACCAGTGCCTCCGTCGGGCGCCAGCGTCATGGTGGCCGCCTGCCTAGGATGCCCAAGCCGAATTTTTGGCCTTTGCGCTGATCAGCAGCACTGGCCCGTTCCGGCCATGGAGAGCCGAATTCATCAGCTCGGGGCTTGGATAAGAGCTTCAATCCAGCCTGCATGACCGCCCCCAGCAGTGACATCATGTGCGAGAGAAAAACAGTAGGGCCAGGTGAGTTTCAGTGGGGTGCCCACTGACCGATTGCTGTTGCCCTCATGTCTTTTTGCTGTGTTTTCAAAATTTTTCTTTTCACAACACCGCACAAGACCATCTGGGAGGGGGACCTCAGATAGTCTAGTGTACCATAGCTCTGTGGCGGCATGAAGGTGATGTCATGTGAGGTCAACACACAGCTGTGAGTTGTACACATGTCCTGACGTAACAGCAGTGAATTTCAGTGTCCATTTCTTTCATGTCATGCCAGGCTGTTCCAGCGCAACGCACGGGGGAGACCCGAGGCGCAGTTTTCAGTCAAAGGGAGGGGATCCCGGGGCCTTAGCTAGAGGGGTGTCCTCGAGAACAGGCCATGGAGACTGATAAAGTCCCACTGGAAAAGGGTTCCCCGGAAGAAATCCTAAGGAAGTTGGGTGACAACTTCTCGTTGGATGATGGGGTAGTTGAAGCCCTGCTCCGGTTGGGCGTCGAGAGTTTGCAAGAGTTTCGTTTTCTATGGGCATCTGAGCAAGCCATTGAGCCCTGGGTAGCTAAGCTGGGCCTGGGGGACAAGGCACTGCTGATGACAGCTCGAGTCCGCAGAGCGTGGGCCGCAGTGGGACTCTACTATCGTCAGGTGGAACAGGATCGATCCAAGATCGCGCTGTCGGACTTGGATACTATGCTTGGGGAGACCGAGCTGCGCGACACCAAGCAGCAGT